AGGGCGTTGGGCATTACAATGTGTGTGCTCTCTAGAACTATCAGGACATTGGTTGCTACCTACTTCGAGGATCATATTTGTTCAGGTCACAGTTAGAAGCTCAGTATCATGAAAAGGTTAACTAATAGAGCACGAAAATCATCCGTACAATGAAATAGTATATATTTGTTGATTGGAACGCCAAACTTTTTGACTAAGGTACATTTACTTGTAGTCTAAATTTTCAAATTTATTTTGATGTTTGTCTAGGGAGCATTCCCTCATATTCTTGAGAATACAAGGGGTCGTTTCTCAAACAAGATTATTGATGTACTGAGGCAAACATCGGACATATGTTATCAAAAGTTGGAGGATATTGACTGCATTACTTGTCCCCATAAACCAGATGGGTCCATGTTTGTAATGGTAATGCTCTTGAAGATCCAGATTCTATACTCTTTTCTACAAAGTCCTTTCACAGACATAAGTCTAACAAATCTTATACAGGTTAAGTTGAATTTGTCCTATTTGGAGGGCATTACTGATTGTGTAGATTTCTGCTGTAAGCTGGCCAAAGAGGAGTCCGTAATAATTTTGCCTGGTGAGTACATATGTTTCACTATAATGTTCTTAGAAGAATGAACTAAATTGTACATATAACTCCTTTTTTTTTGTGGTTTGGGCTAGTTAAGATATAAACTTTACATATGCAAGCTTACCGTTCAGTAATCCTGCTCCAAAATGGATTGTAGAAATTGGTTGACGCAAAAAACACCACCTTTGGGACCTCAGCTGATTAATTATCCTACAGTTTCTTATTTTTTCCATCTTTCCTGTCTTATGTTTAGTTTATAATATCTCTTTCTCTTTCATCAGTAGATGAAGCTAGGATATTGTTGAATTCTAAAATACAAGTCAGTTTGGGCACTCATACAATGCTACTATTGGTTCACTAGCATACTTGGACATACATCTGCCAAAACTAACTATTGAATCTAAACAGAGCCTTCAACAGCAGAAGTGACTGTTTCATGTATGAGAAAATGGTGCAGTGCTGTAGTTGAATTAAATTTTGAAAGAATTATTATGCTAGGTATCCGGTGTTTGCTTTTGCATGTAGATCAGATTGATCCATCTTCCATATTTACGTTGACTTATCAAGGATATCCTTTGAGGTTGCTGTTATATGTTGATTTCTTTCTCCCCATATACAGTAAACTATGGTATTTCATGTAAATGTTTACCACTGTTAGGGAATCGTTTTACTTATAACCTGTGGTTATTTTCAATTTTTCTTCAGGAGTTGCTGTGGGATTGAAAAATTGGCTTCGCATCACTTTCGCCATTGATCCGTTCTCTCTTAATGCCGGCCTTGACCGGATGAAATCCTTTTGCCTCAGGCATGCCAAACTCAACCAGTGAAGTGGAAGAAGCAGCAGCAGCAACCCAGGCGGATGTAATTTGAATTAGGCTGCTTAAAGCAGTGGTGATCAGCTGCATCTCCATTGGATCTCCCATGTGTTTAAACCCTCTTTAAGTTGTTACCATCAGTATCTGTGATGTGCACTTCATGCTTTCTAAATAACGTTGTACTTTTCATGAATAAGACATGTAAACCTGCCTCGTTTAAATTTTAATACATTTGCAGGAAAAAGTTTCTATGTTTAAAGTTGACTAGTAAACACGCATCGTTTGAATTCCACTATCAAAGTTTGAATCTCGGCTAAGCCACTGGATGACATCCCTCGATAGCTTTGCTTCTTGATCGTCGAGGACCTCTGGTAAGAGGCTGATGATTTTCACTAGCTTGTGAGTCGACTGTAACAGGTGATGTGACATATCATAGTTGCGTCAAATGGGCTTCAACTTTGGGTTAAATAAGCGGGTCAGAGTTCAACCCTCTAAGAAAAATGTTTTTAACACTACCTTCTATTGGGATTGTGTCTTTGATTCTTTGTAGAACTTCATAAGAATTAGATAGGGTTAAAGATCTATCATGATTAAGAGTTTGAGTTGTATCATAATTAGGAGTTTGAATTCTATTCTAATTAAGAAGTTAGGCTAGAGATAGGTTTTGGTTTCTCTATATATATTCTTCTATTGCTGGAGGAAAAACTAAGAAGAAGAAAGCAGAGAGAAGATGTAGTAGAGAGAGAGAGTCAATATTCTTGTATTCTAGGGTTAGCAGATGACGTAGCCTGATTCAAGAATATTGTGCGAGAGGCGAGGGTTTCGTGATCTTTATCCGTGCAAAAGATTACAATGAGTGAGCTTTGGAGATAATATGAGAGTTGATAATGTGTGTGAGGTTGAGAGATTGAGAGATGAGAGTTGAGTGATTCCTCTTGTAGTTCTCCCTGATACATAGTGAATTTCTCGTATTGTTGCCCCGTGGACGTAGGTCGAAGTTGGTCGACCGAACCACGTAAATCCCAGTGTTCTTTTTTTTTCTTGATTGTGGTCGTTTTATATCTTGGTGATTGTGGGTTGGCTTCGGAATTGCGCATATTGTAGTAGGCGGGGAGAGTGAAATTCCCCAACACCTTCACTATCCAATTTGGATACTCAACTCTCGTAACATCCACTCTGATAGTTTTTTCGTTTATTTAGATCTGGTGTGATGATAGTGAAATATTCCAAGCAAAAGTTAACAAGCGTCTATGGAGAGCATTATTTTCTTTTTCTTTTTTTTTTAGTAATATGCGGTTTGGTTGGAGGAAGAGCAAACGGGCTGAGGTTTGTGAACAAATGAACAGCTGGACTTATTTTGGACAGAATCCCACACCAACATACAGATGATTCACAAGTCACAATCCCCCTGCCAACTATTGATCCCATGCGTCAACTATGCGTGCATTGTGGTCGCACTCTCTGCCAAAAGTTATGCCAACGCTTCAAAAACTTTCATTTTTGTTTCCAAGCACAAATAAAACAATGCAAACCTCAACAAAACACGCACATTCACTTAATTCCCCAACAATTTTAGGTACAGAATGGAGTGTGGGAGAGGAGAGAAGGAATGGCGATTCCGTTCAAGCGGCTTGGTTACTGCGTTACTGCCGCAGGTGACCTCACGGTTCGTGCAGTGCTTAACAAGGTTATAGACAACGTCGACGAGAGCAATGGAAAGCCGATGATTGCTTCAGGTCGGGGAGATCCATCCAGCTTTTCATGTTTCCAGACATCAGAGATAGCTGAGCATGCTCTTGTTTCGGCGGTTCATTCAGCCAGGTACAATGGTTATGCTTTCAATGCAGGCATGCCCTCTACAAGAAGGTCAGTATCGAATTATTTTCAAGCTGCATGCCGGCAAAAAACCAAAATAACCCTCGATAATTAAGTACGTATTAAAACCCAAAAAACCAAAATTGCAGTGCGATTGCCGATCACCTCAACAATGATCTTCCGTACAAGCTATCCCCTGCTGATGTGTACGTTACTAGTGGTTTCACTTGAGATCCTTCTACCAGTTCTTGCCCTTCCTGGTGCAAATATCGTGTTGCCGAGGCCCGGCTTCTCATTTTATGAAGCAAGGCCCGCTTTAAGCAGACTAGATCGATCAGGTCCGGCACTTCAACCTCGTTCCAGAGAGAGGCTGGCAGGTTGACCTAGATAATGTAGCGGCTCTTGCAGATGGAGAACACCGTCGCAATGGTCATGATCAACCCTTGAAATCCTTGTGGGAATGTGTTAACTCATCGACATTTGCACAAGTTGTTTTGCATTGTGACTTTTCGTATGTCACAGCTAAAAGTTTTGGTAAATTTAACAAAACCGTCTAAACTTTGGCCGTTTTAGAGATAACCCCGTCAACTATTTAATTACAGGAAATAGCCCTAAACTTTGAGGGTTTTTGCACGTAACCCCTTTGAAGCTCTTTTTCTCAGTAAACCCCTTGAGGAATTTTCACTTTGAACCCCCAAAAGAGCACACCGTCAAGTCTAATGTATCACGTGCCAGGAACGTGACTAATCAAACTAAAATACCTCCTCAAACCTCAAATATCACATTTTTGACGACTGAGATTGTATTCTTGCCTTTTTCTGTCATGTGCTCGGCACCTCACATGTTAGAGTTGACGGTCACTTTCAAAGGTTAATTCTTGCCTTTTTCCGTAAGTCTTGTGCTCGGCACCTCACATGTTAGAATTGACGGTGTCACTTTCAGAGGTTAAAATGAAAATTTTTCAAGGAGTTTAGCGGATTAAAAGAAGTTCAGGGGGCTTATGTGCAAAACCCTCAAAGTTAATTGGTTTTTTGGAATTAAAATAGTTAAGGAAATCTCTTAAACGGGCATATTGAAGGGCGCTTTCTGAAATTTACCATAAAAGTTTTCTATTGTAAATTTGATTTTTCCATAATCTTTAGATTGCCGAGGTTGCGAAGAAGCTTGGCATAATGGTAATAGCAGATGAAGTGTATGATCACTTAACATTTGGTAGCAATCCTTTTGTGCCAATGGGAGTATTTGGGGAGTTTGTCCCTGTCATTACTCTGGGGTCAATATCAAAGAGATGGGTCGTTCCTGGTCGGCGACTTGGTTGGATGGTGAGGAGTGACCCCAACGGAATTCTTAAAGAAGCTAAGCTGATTAACGCTCTTCATGTTTGTACCTTGCGTATTTGGTTCATGGGAACTACTATAGCTTTAAAAAGTTTATCATGTTCTCTAGATGTACAACTTACTGTCATATTTTCTTGCAGAAATTATATACATTAACCATTTCATATATGCACAAACTCATTCACCCTCAATTAATGATTGGGAATTTGGAAGACTTGTATACCGTAAGCCTGAAAGAATTCATTTGGGTACCTCCCGAGGATGTGAAAAAAGACAATGCATTCCTATATAAGATGAGATTAACAATACATCACCTTATTATCCCTCAGTTTTATGATTAATATTTCGTCATTAAAGGCCCTAATGTTTTTAATGAAGTTTTTTTAAAAAAAGTTACGTCATATGTTCTTTTTTAATTATTATCAGATCAGACATTCTTAGGGACAACTCTATTTATGTGTAACTCTGTCTTTCTTCCTTTCTATTTGTTTTGTAAAAAGGGTGACCCATTATTATTTATATGCCTAATAAAATAACATAAGGGTATTATTATCTATATAATCCAAATTTTACAATTGGGCGAGCTAGACCATCCCACGACAAGAAGGTGACTAAGTCAACAAGGTAGTCCACTTAAACTTGCTAAAGTGTGGGACATCTGCACTCAACATATACATTGATGATGGTCCATGGGCCGAAAAACCCATATACAACGATAAAAGTCCATGACAATTATACTCACCTCAACTCTGTCACCATGCCTCATACTAAGCCGGCATAGGTTTTTGGCAATTTGCCTAATCAGAGATGATTAATTTGAATCATATCAATATCCTCAACATACCATCTTGAGAGAAATCAATCAAGTAACCAATCTCTTTGTTTGCCAACCTCCATAACTTAACTGATGTACACACACGTTGGTTGTACTTTCTTAAGCTAATGAGGTCATGACACATGGTCTCATTTGCTCGCTAAGTAACTAGCATAACTACCTCGGCCATTAGAATCATAAACGTGTATTACCTGATTTGCCTAGACAATCAGTATATATAAATACGTCATCTACCAATAGGTAAAGAGCATCTCATATCTTTGGAAGGTTCACAATAGCGTA